AAGCAAAGCTATTAAAAATTAGGAACTCAGTATTTGTAAATCTTGGAATCCAGACATGGAGATGAAAAGCTAAAGAGGAAAAAATACATAGCTGGTGTTACTAATATTGCCTATCAACCATAATAATCATTTTATTTTAGAAGATGTTTATTAGTGATCTCTATTAGTCTTAATTATGTGCAGGATAGTTACCATAGATACCCAGATAATGGACATTTCTGATGTTCTTCATTCAACTCTTTATAAACCCATATTCCCATCTACTGTCATTCCTATCTTCCTGTCTGAAGGACTTCCTGTACCATTTCTTGTAATGCAAGTCTTCTGGTGATACATTCCTTCAGCCTCTGTATGTGTTTAAAAACTCTTCAATATCTCTTCTTTTCTCAAAGATATTTTTGCTAGGTATAGAATTTTCGGTTGGCGGTTTCTGAGTATTTTAAAGATGTTGCTCTTTTATCTTGTGGCTCACGTTTCTGAAGTGTGTTGTCATTATTAACTTTTTTCTCTTGGCTGATTTTAAGATTTTTTTTCTTTCTCACTGGTTTTAAGCAATACAGTGTTATTTTTTTTATGCTTTTTGTGCTTAGATACAGATAGAGGCTTTTTTTTACCCCATCACATTTGGAATATTTTCTACCATATTTCTTTAGATATTTTTTTTTTAGCACTTCTCCTTTCTTTGGAGATGCCAGTTAGGTGTATATAAGTTGTCCCATGGCTCAATAATGTTCCGTTCATAATTTTTCACTATGTCTTCTCTTTGTGTTGTTTCATTGTTGATAGTTGATAAATTGCTTTAACTACAAGTGTTAATCTCATTCACTGTACTTTTTTAAAGTACATACATTGTATCTTTTATCTCTAGAAGTTTGATTTTAATCTTTCTTGTATATTGCAAGTCTCAGTTTTCAGTCTTTCATCTACCTTTTTAAGCATTTGGAATACAGTGATAGTAATTGTTTTCCTTCCCTTGTCTGAAGTCTATTTGTGTAATTTCAGGATTTGGTTCCATATAACTCTATCATCTGTGTAATTTTCAGGGTTTAGTTCTATAGCATTGTTTTTCTTCATTATAAGTAGTATTTCCTTCTGTCTTCATATGCCTGATAACTTTTGTTAGTAATTGATTGACTCCCAGTCAGTATGAGTTTTACTTTGTTTGATGCTCAATGTTTTTATACTTTTATAGATAATATTCTTGAGTTTTTTTTTTCTGTTATATAATTAAGTTACTTGGGAACATGTTGATTCTTCAGAGTCTTGCTTTTTAAGCTTTGTTGGGTGAGATCTTAGCTGTGTTTAATTTTGGGCTATTTACCACTATTAAGACAGTATTCCTCTCTTCACTATCCTCAGTGCCCTGCATATGCCAAGCCTTTTTCCCCTGATGGAAACAGGAGTTCTTCCTGCCCTGTGTGAGCTTTGCCAGTTGTTCTCTGCAAGGCAGAGTTTTTTAAACTTGGAACTATTGACATTTGGGGGTGGAAAATTATTGGGGGAAGGGATGGCAGGAGAGGGCAGGGGACCATCCTGTGTGCTGTCAGATGTTTAGGTGCATCCCTGACCTCTGTGCACTAGATGGCAGTAGCATCCCCCACACTGAGACAACCCAAAATGTCTCCAGACATTACTAAGTGGCTACTGGGGAGTAAAATTGTTCTCTACTGATAACCACTGCTCTAATCCTTTCTGGTAGTTTTTTGGTTTTTTGTTTTGTTTTGTTTTGTTTTTGTTTGTTTGTTTTTTTGTATGTATGCCTTGGCTAAGGATTCAGGGGGGACCTACTGAAGATCTCCGGAGCCCTGTGTCCATCCCGCTGTCTTCTCTTTCATACTCTTGAGACCTTGAGAACTTTAGTCTCTCATCCTCCCAGTGTTCCCAGCTTTGTTGTCTCAACTTAGGAAGACCAGTGGGTTCTACCCAGGGCCTTCTCCCCCCAACACAGCCAGCAAACTCTGGGCTTAAGAGGCTCACATTTGTTTCCTGTCTTCCGGTGATCACTGTCCTTCATTGTTTGGGTCCAGTGTTTTCCAAAACCATTGTTTCGTCTTTTTTTTTTAAGTTTTCTGTTTTTTAGTTATTTTCTAGTGGAGTTCTTAATAACTTCAACTTGGCTCTCATCCTCATTCTTGAATGATGCTTTTCCTAAATACACAATTTTGGGCTGGCTGTTATTTTTTCTAAGCATTTTCCAGATATTTTAACTGGCTTCTAGTTTCCACTGTTGCCAATCAGTCATCTCTCAGTCATTTTGTTTGTGTTTCCTTTCTGATGTTCTTCAGGTCTTCTCTCTTCAGTCTTTGGTGTGCTGTAGTTTCACTATGATGTATCGAATCTTGCATTTCTTTTTATTGTTCCTGCTTCCTGATGGATACATTGGGTCTCCTGACTCTTCAGACTCCATCTCTCATTACTTGTCAAAAATTTCAGCCATTGTCTCTTCAGATATTTCTTCATCTTGATGCTGTTTATACTTTTACTTTGAAACTCAGGTCAGATGCAAAAAGCACCAGCCCCCAAGGAAAAAACATTAATTAGGCTCGTTAAAATTTGGATTCCTTGTTAGTCAAAAAACCCTAATAAGAAAGGGAAAGGGAAGCTACCAAACATGAGAATACATTTGCCGCATATGTAATCAACAAAGGCTTGGGTCCAGTATGTTATAAAGAATTCTTACAAAACAGTAAGAAAAAGACAGATGGAATAGAAAAATGTGTGAGGATCTTGAACAGGCATCTTACAAAAACAGATTTCATTAGTTATAAGAAAAATGGAATTCCAACCATAAGAAGATACCATTATGCATCCAGAATGGTGAGATTGAAATTACTAATGTAAAATGTTGGGGATCATTTGATACAACTAGAACTCACTTAAGCTGTTGGTAAGAGTACAGTTGGGACAAGCACTTTGAAAAACTGTCTCTTATCTGGTAATGTTGAATATACTTAGAACCCATGACCCAGACTTTTCTTTCTCAAATATACTTGACCTTTGAACAATGCAGGGACTAGGGTCACTGACTCCCTACATGTTAGAAATTTGTGAACTTGTGTGTAACTTTTGACTCCCCAGAATTTAACTACTGATAGCCAACTGTTGCTTAGAAGCCTTACCAACAGCAAAATATTTTGTGTGTTATATGTATTATATACTGTATTCTTCCAATAAACTAGAGAAAAGAAAATGTTAAGAAAATTATGAGGAAAATAAAATACATTTATAATACTGTATTTATCAAAAAATATCCACATATAAATGGACCCATGCGATTCAAACCGATGTTGTTCAAGGGCAAGCTATGCTTAACCCATATTGTGTGTGTGTGTGCGTGTGTGTGCACACACGTGCATGCATCAAAAGATAGGAAATATTAATAGTAGCACTATTTATAATAGCCAAGAACGGAAATCATTCTAAATGTCCCCCGAAGGCATAGAAAATGTGAAATATACATACTTGGAAAAATGGACCATAGGTGAATGCACCTGGACCATTGAGAGGCTATTGCAATTCTCCAGGTAAAACACAATGACATCAATGAGCTAGATCAGGTATCCCCCAACTTTTCCTATAAAAACGGTCTCTTGCTTCCACTCAGTTTTTGTTCTTGTAACATGACGGCAGCTATAAACAATACATAAATGAATGAAGAACATGTCACAGTAACATTTCATTTACAAAAACAGATGGCATAGTTTGCCAGTGTCTGCTCTAAGAGCTGAGAGAATAGAACACATTTTAGGATATATTTTGCAAGTAGATTTAACAGAATATAGATTGGGTGTTGAGGAGTGTAGGGTGGAGGAGAGATTTGTTTCAAGGATGATTTCTAGGCTTCTGGCTAGAGTAATTTATGGATTGTGGTGGTGGTGATAGAGAACAAGTTCGTTAAAAGTCTAAAACCTACTCTCCTAAAATAGTAGTGACATGTCAAGATTTGAGTGTTTTTCTGGTCTTTGGTCCAGAATGACAATGTGACTGTATTTTGTGGAGTTTTAGCCACCATGACAGTAATGCCTAGGAAAACTTTTATTTTATTCTTTAAAAAAAATTTTTTTTAACATTTATTCATTTTTGAGAGTGAGAGAGACAGACCATGAGCAGGGGAGGGTCAGAGAGAGAGGGAAACACAGAATCCGAAGGAGGCTCCAGGCTCTGAGCTGCCAGCACAGGGCCTGACGCAGGGCTTGAACTCACGGACCACGAGATCATGACCTGAGCCGAAGCCGGACACTTAACCAACTGAGCCACCCAGGCACCCCTATGTTATTCTTTTATACACATATTAGTTAACCTGTTACACAACAAATGAAAAGGTGAGAAAACAGGAGAAGAATAAAAGTAAATTGCATTGGTCAGTTCCTTTTGTGTTTGCTGCTAACAGTAGGAAGGGAAAAATACAGTTTTCTCAGACTCCTACTGGCTCATTGACAATGTACCTGTGGCCTCATTTTCTCCCTCCTAGCCAAAGTACTAAGCCCCCACCCCTGTCCCCAGCTGCCACCCTTATAAGGATGAACCAGAGAATATACAGGTGAGAGTACTTTTTTTTAAAAAAATTTTTTTAACGTTTATTCATATTTGAGAGACAGAGACAGAGCATGGCGGGGAAGGGGCAGAGAGGGGGAGACACAGAATCTGAAACAGGCTCCAGGCTCTGAGCTGTCAGCACAGAGCCCGACGCGGGGCTCGAACTCACAGACTGTGAGATCATGACCTGAGCTGAAGTCGGATGCTCAACCGACTGAGCCACCCAGGCGTCCCAGGTGAGAGTACTTTGATGCTGATCTTGTCCTCCATGAGGGTAGGCAGCTAAGCAGAGCTGCTGTTGGCTGCTGTATGTACTCCCGTTCCTAAGATGCTCTTTTTCAAGTAGTTGCCTATGACCATTGTTATGTCAACACTGTAACCCCAGTTTGATTTTCTTTATAGCTTGATGTGTTTGGGATTTTATATTTGATTGATTTTTCCCCCCCAAATTCTGACTTTGATAGGCTTTGCTCTCTGTACACGATACTGTGGCTCAGAAGAATTACGATCCGGTATTACCTCCTATGCCTGATGATATCGATGATGAGGAAGATTCCGTAAAAATCATTCGTCTGGTCAAAAATAGAGAACCATTGGTGAGTTTTGGTATACGGTTTATGCTCAGACATGAGTAGGTACCATGATAAAACCAAATCTGATGGGGCCACACCATTTATTCCTCTCTTTATAACATAATTTTTCTGTGTTTTTAAGCTTTAAAATAAATACAGCATACATGTCTAAAAAACAGTATTTAGAAAAATGAAAAAAAAAAGCCAAATAAAACAGCAGCATTTTATTGGTTAGAGCAATAATTTGTAAAATGTGATGTTGACCTTTGTAAAAGAAAGCATACCATGAGCTAGTCACAGCTGATTTAAGACTAAACGGTGCAACTAAAAATAATTGCTCTGGCTTTTCTAGAAAGCTGATTTATTTTAAAGTAAAGGAGAAATTAATCAAATGCCTTTTATTTCAAAATGTTAATGTAGGGGTGCCTGGGTGGCTCAGTCGGTTAAGTGTCTGACTTCGGCTCAGGTCCTCATCTCACAGTTTGTGAGTTTGAGCCCCGCACTGGGCTCTCTGCTGTCAGCGCAAATCCCACTTTGGATCCTCTGTCCCTCTCTCTCTCTGGCCCTCCCTCACTCTCTCTCTCTCAAAAATAAATAAACATAGAAAACTGTAAATGTACCTATTTATTTTAGCACCGGAATTTATACAATGTCAAATTGCATCAGGGGGTCTGTGGTGAGCAGAATGGTGTTCCCCACCATGCCCAATGATGTCATGTACTAATCTTCAGAACCCGTGAAATACTACTTTAAATAGCAGAGGGACTTGTCAAGATTTGGTAAGGACCGTGAGATGGGAAGATTATCCTGGGTTATCTGGTGGGCCCCTTGTCATCACAAAGGTTTTTACTGAAGTGGGAAGGGCAGCACATCAGAGTTACAAAAAGGAGACGTGATGATAAAAGCAAAGGTTGGTGTGATGTTGCCATGAGCCACGGAATGCCAGAAGCTTCTGGAAACTGGAAAAGGGGAGGATCAGATTCTCTCCTAGATCCTCCAGGGGGAACACAGCCTTGCTGACACCTTGACTTTAGCTTCAGGACCCTCATTTTGGCCCTCCTGTCTCCAGAACTGTAAGGTAACAAATCTGTGTCACAAAATTTGTGTGGCACATTTGTCATGGCAGCAGTAGGATAGCAGTACAGAGTGTCTCCATATTTTGCTGAAACTGCATTCAGAAGAAAAATAAATTCCACTGTCTAGCAGTTGATTTTAAATGTGTTGGGGGGCGCCTGGGTGGCGCAGTCGGTTAAGCGTCCGACTTCAGCCAGGTCATGATCTCGCGGTCCGTGAGTTCGAGCCCCGCGTCGGGCTCTGGGCTGATGGCTCGGAGCCTGGAGCCTGTTTCCGATTCTGTGTCTCCCTCTCTCTCTGCCCCTCCCCCGTTCATGCTCTGTCTCTCTCTGTCCCAAAAAATAAAAAAAAATAAAAAAAATAAAAAAAAAAAAACGTTGAAAAAAAATTTAAATGTGTTGGGGCCCATTTTTTTCCTAATTGAGACATTTTGGTATTCTTAAAGCAAATAGCAGGGGATAATGCAATACTTGCTGGGCACTGTGTGAAGTACTTTACATATGTTACATTTATCCTCATAGTTGGTATCTCTTTTTCCATTTTTATAGACTAGGAAACGGATACGCAAAGAAGTGAAGGAACTTACTTAAGTATTACAGCTAATGAGTGGTAGAATGGAGGTCCGGGCCCTTTACCTGCAAATACTAGTTTTTTTCTTCTACACCATATTTTGTCTGTCTACTTTTCCCTTATAGGTTTTTTTCATGTTGTTTTGTTTAAGGGCAACTTTGGTACATTGATAACTACACTGGATACTCCTACCCAGAAAAAACACACAGATAGATTTGATGTGATACAAAGGAATTTATTGAGACCCTGATGCCCGCCCATGGATGTCCTCGGGCTCCCTGTATTCCTGGTTAAGATTATTTAATGTACATTATAAGTTTGTGCCTTTAATATGTGGTTTATAACTCTGTAATGTCTCTTGGTATTTATTAAATAGAAGGTGATATACTTAGCAAGGATAGATGGCATGCATTTTGGATGTAGAAAGATCTTTCTCAGGGTCTATCACCATACAGTGACTAATTCTTGGTGGCTTCTGTGCATCCCTCGATAAATACATTTTTTTGTTTTGTTTTGACAACTTCAGGCACTTGGATAACCGAAAGGCTGACCATCTTGAGGAGTTCAGGAATTCATTAGGAATAATTTCTTTGATCAGTTGTAGTTTTCCCAGGGGCAGTGGCTTTTGGTGTGTTGGCTTCATGGGCTAACATTTAAAGCACCACCAGCAATGTTTATGTCCTGAGCCTCTCTTGATCAAAGAACATGTTCAAAATGTTTGTCAAAGCAATTAGGCATGCACTGCATTGAGATTTTTTAAGTTTTAACTGGACCTGCTGCAAATTAGTTTCAATTTAAAAAGCAGTCGCGAATGAGGTATAGAAAATAACCTACAGTTGTGTTATCATCCTTTGTTACTGAGTATATCACATGCTTTATAGCTAGTAAGCATGTCACAGCTTAAATAATTAGATCTAACTTTGACATCATCATCCTTTGTTAGCTCTCTTTTGTCCAAGTTTATATAATATAGAATATTTAAGAGGAGAATCTGAACTGGGGTAAATGGCAAGTTAGAGTTGATCAGACCAGGCAAATTTTTACATACACAGTGCAAGAGAAGAGAGGGAGTACAAAATACCCACAACGTTGTTACTTAGGTGAGGAGAAGTACCATGCATTCAGGTAGCAAGAATAGAAGGAAATGCATGGGAGTAAAAATTTCAAGTTTCCTTATGATTATTTGGAGCCTGTGGGGCTCGGCAGGTGCTAGGAAGAGGCTAGAGATTTAGGAAAGGGAACCAGGTAAATTTAAAAATTGGTTGAATTGTTAATTTGTTTAAAAATTATTTCTCTTAAGCATGGGGATGTTTTCCGGATTTGTAATATTTGTATATGCAGGGGCTATCTTCAGCATTTCTTGGAATTGTTCAGTTCCTTATTCATGTACCATGGTTTAATTTGACAACTTTGTAATATACTTGAAAGCAACTTTCCTTTCTACTTCATCTCAAATGTTGGGTGTTTAAAAATTTTAATGCTGTTTCATTTGGATCCATAATTTTTATTCTGCTCTTTGCCTATTTTACATGAATTAAAAGTTGTCATATTCATTTTTCCATTATTTAAAAGTAAATTAATAAAAGTTTTTGTCCCCAAGCATATGCAGTTAACTTCTCTAAACTAGGTTTATGTTTTATATTATTTTTATGTTTAAGGCAATCTAAAGCAATTTCAAGTACTTTGAAGTTATTTTACTTTAAAAAATTACTGTAGTTACTTGTCCTTTGTCTTCCTTCTGAGCCACAATTGTGTGTTTCTTGTTCAAGGAACTGTATTTAAAAAAAATAAAAATAAAAAACTTCATATAGACAACAACATCTACATGGGACGAAGAAATTCCCAAATTATTTGTTAGGATTTCTGAGAAGAGTATTAAGATTTCAGATGTCATTTCAACCTTGGAATATGAAATCAAGTGAGGAGAATTACTTATCTTGAACTTTATTTCATCCAAATGATAATTAGTGTATTATTTTTAGTTTGACAGTTATAAAGGTAAAGTAGGATTCTTGGGTGAGTACATTTAAGGTTTAAAAAAATGTACTACTCAGAAAAGTAGGAAATGGTTATTTTCAACAAACTTGTCATTTTACATTTGTCAAATGTCACTTGTCATTTTGGAGAGGTTCTTGGAAAAGCCACAACTACCAAAGGGGTAGAAAGTGGGGGAGAAGCGGAAGCCGAGAGAAGATTGAATCTAAGGCATCCTTAGGAGAATGAATCCAAGTGGTAAGAGTCAGAAATAGTTAAGACGCGAGAAGCAATGCTGAAGTAAAATTCTAGTGATTGGATCGTCAGGAAATTTTTGGCAAATGATTCCAGAGTAAAGGCTATAAGATTTAACAATGAAGGGGGGTTAGTTTATCCATATGATTTAAGAGTTTACTTTTGTCTGTTAGATTGAGGCATATGTGGTGAAATAAACACCAGGCTTGGATTAGAGGACCTAAGTGGGAGGTACTCTGGTGTCCCTTCTTTGCTCTATATCCTTGCAGGACCAAGTCAGTTAATCTCACAGGCTGAGGCTTCTTGTTTGAAAATCAGGAGATCTGCCTCTTCAAGAGTGTTTTGAACGTCAAATAGCATATAATGTACTTGAAATGCTTTGTATGCATTATGCAAGCACTATATAAATGTTGTATAGAATGATACGTAGAAGCTCTCGATGACGGTTGTTGGAGAGGACCATTTCCAGGGAAAAGAGGCAGTGAGCACAGATCATGTAGGTGTTTGCAATGGAAAGGTGAGATGGTGATAGTTTAAGGGGAGGGATGGATAAATGAATTGAGAGAAGGAGAGAAAAACAATGGTCAGGATGCAGGGAGCAGAGCTATCCTCCCTCCCCATGAATTTGGAACAATTTGTATCTGTTTTATGCAGAAATAATTAATAATTATTATTTTTTAGGCACCCTTTAAGAAAGTGACCTTCACTTAGTGAGTGAGTGGATTATGATCTTAATTTTCAGTTTCTTGTATGGGTTGTCCTTCTTGCTTCTTTTAGAACAGTGCTGCTCCAACTTTGGTATCCTAAGAATTACCTGAGGTGCTTACTTAAAACGCAAACTTCACCACCTCTACCCCCAGAGAGTCTGCATCAGTAGGTTTCAGGTGGGACCTGGGAATCTAGATTTTTTAAATGTCTCAGATGTTCTTGATGCAAATGTTTGGTAGATAATGCTTGAAACCACTTTGATTTCAAAGGTTCAATCTGGAATCAACAGCGCTACCTGCTTAAGGAGGTCTTAGAATATTGGCAGTATTGTAGGACATGCATTTTTTATGGAGACATCATGATAGCATGGGCTCATCAGGTCCTCTTTTATAAACCATTTTACAGCAGTAGCAAGACAAACGTAACCAGAATTTTAACTTCTC